AGCTCCTCACGTTATCGAGTCAGTAACTTACCCGGAACGAATTTTTCACGGGCCTGTACGTAGGAACCCCGCTTACCCGGGGGCTGGATTTGAGCTCATTAGCACCTGCTTGGACGGGGAACATTCCCCTAAAATCCATGCTTACCCGGGGGCTGGATTTAAGTTCATTAGCACCTGCTTGGACGGGGAACATTCCCCTAAAATTTTGGGGGGCCCGTACGCGGGTACCACACTTACCCGGGGGCTGGATTTGAGCTCATTAGCACCTGCCTGGGCGGGGAACATTCCCCTAAAATTTACCACGCTTAAAGGGTCTGGATTTGAGCCCATTAGCACCTGCTTGGACGAGGAACATTCCCCTAAAATTTTAGCTTTCAGGGAACATTCGCCTAAAATTTCAGCTTCCTAGCATCTCTGAACCCCGAGTTATGAATTTGCGCGGGCCCCTAAAATTTCGGCTTTCTAGCATCTCAGAACCCCGAGTTATGAATTTGCGCGGGAAAAATTTTGGGGGGCCCGTACGTGCCACGGGGGCTGGGTTTGAGCCCATTAGCATTTGCCTGGACGGGGAACATTCCCCTAAAATTTCAGCTTGCTAGCATCTCTGAATCCCGAGTTATGAATTTGCGCGGGAAAAATTTTGGGGGGCTCGTACGCGGCTACCACGCTTACCCGGGGTCTGGATTTGAGCCCATTAGCACCTGCTTGGACGGGGAACATTCCCCTGCACGCTTACCCGGGGGCTGGGTTTGAGCCCATTAGCATCTGCTTGGACGGGGAACATTCCCCTAAACCATGCTTACCCGGGGGCTGGATTTAAGTTCATTAGCACCTGCTTGGACGGGGAACATTCCCCTAAAATCCAGCTTTCTAGCATCTCAGAACCCCGAGTTATGAATTCGCGCGGGAAAACTTTGGGGGGCCCATACGCGGGTACCACGCTTACACGGGGGCTGGGTTTGAGCCCATTAGCATTTGCCTGGACGGGGAACATTCCCCTAAAATTTCAGCTTATCTAGCACATCAGAACCCCGAGTTATGAATTTGCGCGGGAAAAATTTTGGGGGGCTCGTACACGGG